TGCCCTCCCAGCCTCAGTTTCCCCACAGGTGACATGGAGATGGGGCCTTCCCTCTCCCTGTCATGGGATGTGAGGACGCATGTGATGGGGTCCTAGGCGGGAGAGGGGTTCAGAGGTACAGGAGGGCAGCAGCATGGCTCACCAGTGAGTCCAGGAGGCTGTCCAGTTCAGGACCAAAGACGTCCCCGTCGGAGAAGTCGTCCAGGCCCTCGGTGCTGGGGAGGGCCCTGCTGCTGCTGTCCAGGGGGGCCAGCAAGTCCAGAACGTGAGGGAAGAGGGGCATCGTGGGGAGGGAGGGGAGGGGGGCTGGGGAGCCTCGCAGGTCCACGTAGCAGTCTGTGGAGGGGGGTGGGCTCAGTAGCTGCAGGGGGTCCTGCTTGCTCCAAGTGGGGAGGGTTTCCGGGCCCGGGGGTCCTCGCCTAGCCCTCCCCTCCTTCCTCCAGCTCCTGCTGGGAACCTGCCTGTGCCGCTGGCCTGGCCCCACTGGCGGAGGCTCGGTCTTGGTGGAGGAAGGCCACACAGGGCGGGAGAGGGTCCTTCAGTCCCACAGTGAGTCCCTGATGGGCCTGGCTCAGTCCCTACATGTCCTGCCTCTGGCGTAAGCAGTACTTCTGTGAGGGGGACTTTTAAAATGACGCTTTCTGGAAGCCATCGAGGAGGAGAAGGGGAAGACGGCTTTGAGAGAGGCAGACTCCCAGCTGGGGCAGCTGGCCTGGAGTGGAGGACGTGGGGCCAGTGCTACCCCACTGTGAGGCAGCCCCCACCCTCCCAGGCTGAAGGGGTGCTCTCCCCTCCCTGAGGGGGAGGCCTTTCCAGAACCCACTATTTGCTTTGATGCTTCAGGGAGTCCCCAGGGCAGGGAGCCCTCAGGAGCCCATATCTGCAGAGGTGGAGCTTGACTCGCCTGACCTACCAGGGGTCTTGGGGAGTTGGGGCTGAGCCCTCCCCAGGACCCCATCTCCACCTGTCCCCTCACATCATGGACACTACCTGTTTCGATGTCATCTATGGACCCCAATCCATTGGAAGTTCCCTGTGGAGAAGGACATGGCGAGTCAGGCAGAAGCAGGCTGCGTAGGCCACGGTGCCCACCACCCAAAATGTCACCTGGGCCCAAGTAACTATTGCTGATATTAACCATAGGGCTGGACCAGCTGGGCTGGGAGGCAGGGAGTGTGGGGTCAGACAGCCTTCCATCTGCCCCCCACACTGGAGAAGCGCCCTTGGGAGAAGGGTACATACAACCTCTGAGCCTCAGTTTCCTCAGCCGTCACAGGACAGGGTGTATATCCTGGGGAGGCTGCAGAGGGTTTTACTGAGCCCTCCACACACCATCCAGGAACCGACAGCAGCTCAAAGACCAAAGTACCACACCCTGAATCACCAGAGTCCCCTTCTCCAGGACAGCCCCAGGCTGAAGCAGCACGAGTGGGACCCCACTTCTGAGGGGAAGCCTGGCAGAGCTCGCTCTTCCTCATCCTCTCTGGACCTGTTCCCTTCTGTTTAAACGGAGGACAACACAGCCACCACCTCCTAGGACTGTCACGGGGATGAAATCACTTGACGTTCATACGGAGCTGACAACACTGCCTGGCGTACAGGAAGCGCTTTATGTGTTCAATAAATGTGTAACATAAAACTTTAAGTCCATGCCCTCAGAGGGCCGGCCTGGGTGAACTGGGTGCTCTCGTTCCCCAGCCTCCATGTTCCATGCCCACAGATGCGCCTGGTTCACCACCACCTCCAAGCCGCGACCTGTCATCCCTCAAGCCTGGCATGGCCTCCCCTTCTCAGTGTCCTGCACAGTCAAGCGGAAGTTCTCCTTCCCTGGTGAGGCCCTAGGTGACCCCATCTCCTCTGTGCTCCCGCAGAAGGTAGCAGGGGGACCAGGACCTCACTGCGGGCCATCCCCTCCCATGTATCACAGCGACGGTCAGAGCAGCAGGATTAACCAGGCCCCTGCCGCGCGCTAGGCCTGGGCCGGCACTGCGCGCCCAGTCAAGATCAAGTTGAGCCCTTGGTCCAGGCGCCCTGGGAGGTGTTTTCCCCTGGCACAGGGGCGATGTCAGTCCAGAGATGCTGTCATCCCCTCGGCCGCCTGCACAGAGTGCCTCTTTCTCGCACAGAGCCCATTCCTGGGCACATGGCAAACGCGTGCGGTTC